ATCAGCAGATTTAGCCCTTGGACTAACAGCATGCATCCTCTGAGCTGCCGATAGCACCAAGGTTCCTCAAAGCCTCAGCAGAATCCCAACCCACCAGCTTTCTCTTAGGAATTCCCAACAGAGGCAGAAGGTGTGGCAGGCAGAATAATGCCCCCAAAGGTGTCTATGTCTTAATTCCTGCACTCTGTGAATACATTACCTTACATAGCAAGAGGATTTCCACAAGTATGATTAAATCAAGGATCTTGAGATGGGGAGATTACCTGGATTATCTGGTGGACCCAGTGTAATCACAAGGATCTTTCTAAGATGGAGACAAGAGGGTCAGAGTCAGAGTAGCAGGTGTGATAAGGAAAGGAGGAGTCAGGATATGTGATGAGGGTGCTGGCTTTGGAGGTAGAAGGGCCAAGAGCCAAGGAACAATGGCATCTCTAGAAGCCAGAAGGGCAACACAAGCAGATTCTCCATTGGAACTTCCAGCAGGATCACAGCCCCACCCACCCCTGGATTTTAGCCCTTTAGACCCATTTCAGACTTCTGATCTTGAGAACTGTGAGATTATCTTGTGTGCTTTAAGCCCCTCCAATTGTAGTCGGTTGTTACAGTAGTGACAGGAACATGTGGAAGGGGCTTGGAAAAGTTTCTCTGGCAGCACCCCACCCCCATCCCGCCATCTCCTCACTTGTTTCCCCTTATCTTAGACTGGCTGGGTTCTTGCTGGCTGTCCTCCGGGTCTACCTCTTCTATGAAGTCTTCCCAGGCCCACCTAGCTGAGGGTTTTCCAGCTCTTCGTATGGAGCGCCTGCATTTGGCACTTAATCTTTTAGAGTCAAGGAATCCAAACAGATTAAGTCACTCTAGGGCGCTTTAGAAAGTACTGATGCTAGACTCTCCCTCCAGAGCAGTTGAATCTAGGGGTGGAGCCTGGGCCAGGTAGTTATGAAAGCCCCCCAGGGGTTCTTCCTGGGCAGCCAGGGCTGAGAACCAAACCTCAGCGACAGAACCTTCCTTTTGGTTCTTTCTTTCCATGTACGTTTTCTCTTGCGCATCTCTTCACAGGACCCAGGCCAGTGCTTGGCATCTAGCAGGTGTTTAATAAATATTTGCTGACTGTAAAGTCCTAGAGTACAGGGCTGTTCTGGTAATAATTAAGTGACTTTCATTCACCTAGCACTAAACCACATGCTCAGTAGCTTCTAGTAAATTGAACTAAACTAACGCAGTAAGTGGTTATTCTAAATAAGCCTTTTGTATATTTGAAGAAGAATTCTCCCATGACCCCACTCATGCCTGCATTGTTTGCTTTGTCTTGTTTTGTTTTCATTCTTCTCTGGGCCCCTACAACACGTCAGGCTCTGAATGAAGCTGCTCAGGAAACAGACCTGAGAGCAATCGCTACAGCTTCATGGAGGAGACAGGTGTATGCCCAGAGAGAACAGAAACCACAGGGGCCAACCATCACCCCCCTCTACTGAAAATCACAAGCCCGGTGCCAATTCTTTTTGGCACGAGTATCACCTCTGCAGAAGCTCTATGGTCTAAGAGCAGTTGTTCTCAAAGATGTGGCCCCCAAAACAGCAGCATTGACATCACCTGGAGACTCCTTAAGAAAGGAAGATTCTCCACTCCATCCCAGACTCACTGAATCAGAAACTCTGGGGGTGGGAGCAGCAGTCTGTTTTAATAAGCCCTCCTGGTCATTTTGACCCCTGACAAAGCTTGAGAAGCCCTGCCTTGAAGTCATGCTTCTCAACCTTGGCCATACATTCAAATCCCCTGAGAAGTCACATTTTAAAAATGTGACTGTTTATATGCCACCCCAGACGAATTAAATTGGGATCTCTGGGAATGGGGCTCAATCTTTAAAGCTCCTCTAGTGAATCAAATGAACCACAGCCTTCGCGGAGGAAGGGTCAGCATGAGAATGCCAATAGAAAGGCCTGGTTGAAGCCAAGCAGAGTGCTCCCGGCAGGGCAGCGGGGCCTCCACTTCCCCTCAGTCAGCTTCACGCTGGGGCATAGGGAAGGCTCACAGCGTTCCATTCTGTCTCCAGGGCTCCTCTTCCAAGCGTGAACTTTGTTTAGACGTGTAGCAGAATCTGCCTTTTCAACTAACGCTTACAAAGGAGACTCATGGGGGCAGCCTGGGTGGCTCAGAGGTTTACCACTGCCTTTAGCCCAGGGCGTGATCCTGGAGACCCGGGATCGAGTCCCACGTCGGGCTCCCTGCATGGAGCCTGCTTCTCCCTCTGCCTGTGTCTCTGCCTCTTTCTTTCTGTGTGTCTCTCATGAATAAATAAAATCTTAAAAAAAAAAAAAAAAAGGAGGCTTAGGAAAAATGTCAATGATGCCAAAACTACCAACACTATGCTTTCTGAGCAGTGATTCCTGATCAGTCACATGGGAGAAAGAGTAAGAGGTGAATTAACCTATTTAGTGGTTTGTGCTAAGAGTGTTCACTGAGATCTTTGGAACACTCTGAGTAACTCCCACTTTTGAGTTCCTTTTTGTTACCTTTGGGTTAGTCTTCTATTTCTGAGTTGAGTTAAATCACATATTACATTTATAACATATATATCGTGTAGATTATTTATGTGATTATAAAGTATGACATACACATACTTCATAATTTATATAACTATAAATTATAACTTATAATTATATGTATTGTAATTACCAAGGGCATAGAAAGTATAACAATCACAAGAATAGTTACTGCCGACTGAGAGTTTACTGTGTATTAGGCATTAATGTTTAGCACCTTAAATACATTGTCACAGTAAACTTTAAAACTCCATTACCCCTTTTCCAGATGAGGAAACTGAGAAGGCCACAGAAAGTGGGAGAGCCAAAATGGATTTGAACGTAGGTCTATCATCAAAGATCATACTTTTAGCCCTAGTCTCTACTGCCTTATAGTAAATAGTAGCACAGGTTTATAATACTACTTAAATTAATATAGTACAAAATGTAAATAATATGATACTGGATAGTGTTTTATTCATACATAAAATTATACATAATTTAACTTGCAATTGTATGTAATATAAACTCAATAAATGCTCTATGTGAAAATGTTACCACTTAAACATACTTATATAGTATCAATTAAAGTTCATTTGTGGGCAGCCTGGGTGGCTCAGCAACTTAGCGCTGCCTTCCGCACGGGGCGTGATCCTGGAGACCTAGGATTGAGTCCCATGTCGGGTATCATGCATGGAGCCTGCTTCTCCCTCTGCCTGTGTCTCTACCTCTCTCTCTCTCTCTCTCTCTCTCTCTCTCTGTGTGTGTCTCTCATGAATAAATAAATAAAATCCTAAAAAAAAGTTCATTCATATCTATAACCAATGATGTTATGTCTAAAGGCCATCCCTGGAATGTTACATTGAAAATATATGACTTCTTTGAAAATACTAGGTGATAACAGTGTAAAAAAAAAACCCAACCACTACACAAAATTATATACATATATGATAAGAATTTTGTAGAACATATACATATATATTTTATACACATGGGGGAGAGATGGAAAGAAAGTGCCTTGAATCTTTCACAGCAATTATGATTGGTTCCTCTTTGTGGAAGTTTTGAAATTATTTTCAGTCTCTTTACTTGTTATAAGTCTATTCGGATTTTCTATTTCTTCTTGAGTCAGTTTTGGTCATTTGTTTCTAGGAATGTGTTCATTTTATCTAAGTTATCTTGTTGATATGCTGTTGTTTATACTTTATTTGGTGCAAAAAAAAAGATGGTTTTATTAAAGCATGGGGACAGGATCCATGGGCAGAAAGAGCTGGCTTCCTTTTTATTTCTGAAAAGTTCGTACTGGTGTCACCTCTTTCAGTCCCAATTTTAGTAATTTGAGTCTTATCTCTTTTTTTTTTTCTTGGTTATTCTAGCTAAAGGTTCACCAATTTGCTTGATCTTTTCAATGAATGATGGCTTCTTAGGTGTTCATTTTTAAATTATACTCCATAAGTTACATGTGATCTTTTGTACATATAAAATATTGCACGATGAAAATGGAAAAGAGAAAAAAGAATCATGTCTTAAAAAATTTACTACAGCCTTTTGTCCTGTTTTGAGTTTCACATAGAATTATTTTCTTGTTCTTATAAACTAATTTCCAAATTTGTGAAGATTCTACCCTCTAAATGAAATTAACATTTCTTCACAAAGCAGGGAAGCAATCGATACACTATAAGATTGGGTAGGTAAGAGGCTATAATAATGTAGCAGTGCTAGTATTGAAAAACTGGCTGCTATGTTAGAGCTGTTGTAACAAAGCACGATAAACTGGGTGGCTTAAAACAACAGAAATTTATAATCTCACAGGATAAATCCAGTTGTCAGCAGGGCCATGCTTTCTGTGAAACCTATTGAGGAGAATCCTTCCTTCTTCCTCACCTCTTCTAGCTTCTGGTGGTTACCAGCAGTCCTGGGCTTGAACTGCATCACTCCACTCTCTGCTTCTGTCATCACATGTCCTTTCCCTGTGTGTCTCTCTCCTCTTCTTAGAAGGACACTGTTCACAATGATTAAAGGCCCATCCCATTCTAGTATGATCTCATCTTAACTAATTACATCTGCCATGGCCCTATTTCTAATAAAGGTCACATTCTGAGGTCCTGGGGTTAGGGTGTCAACATCTCTTTCTTGGGGGGATATAAACAACTCTTAGCAGACATGTTTTTAGCTAATTGTAAATGTTTATCTGTTACTGTCCAATTTTTAGTAGTATATCAAAGTGTCTTTTCTATTTTTAAAAGATTTTTGTTTTAGAGAGAGAGAGAATGGGGGAGAGACTGAGAGGGAAGGAGAGAGACAAGCAGACTCCATGCTGAGCACAGAGCCCAATGCAGGGCTCAATCCCACGACCCTGAGATCATGACCTAAGCTGAAACCAAGAGTCGGATGCTCAACCAACTAAGATTGAGCCACCCAGGTGTCCCTAAAGTGTCTTTTCTGCTTACCAAGATTTTTTTTTAATCTCTTCCCTAGATTGAAGATATGTTTAATGAAATCAGATTTAGTGAGTATGTGGATACTGGGAAGCTAATAGACAAAATCAATTTACCGGATTTCTTCAAAGTTTACCTTAATCACAGACCACCTTTTGGTAACACCATGAGCGGCATCCAGCATAGCTTTGACATTCTTGGTTTTACCAATTCAAAAGGAAAGAAGGTCATACGAAGAGAAGATTTCCTGAAACTGCTTCTAACAAAAGGTAAATCCATAAATAGGGAGTATCTTGTCACATCATTGGGCTGTTCCCACTGGAGAGAGCTGTTTTGGGGAAGGCAGACCCCCTAGTATCCTTAAGCAATGGAGGGCTTCAACCATGAGGGATGCCACCTACTGATCTGCCAAGCTGGCAAAGATGGCATGCTGGGAAGGGTGTTGTCCTGGGTCCTCTGAGATTGAGTGTCCTCACTTGTAAAAGGGGAGTGGAAGGGCTAACCACCAGTCTCACAGGGCTCTTATGATGCTGGGATGCAATGGTGAAGTAAAACCACACCGATATAAAATTTTCCATTTTAACCTACTGTTTTCCTCATTATATTATGTGAGGAAGTCAAGTAGGCTTTATCCCTGGGTGACGGTTTCCTCTTTGTCAAACTGGTGGTTCTAGTGTGGGGAAAGGTGAGATGAAGCCAAATGTGGTCTTTATCAGAAAGATGCCTTCTTTCTCTGCACAAGCCCCTGACAGACTTCCCCCTTCTTTTTCCTTTCCTTTTTTTTTTTAAGATTTATTTATTCATGAGAGACAGAAAGAGAGAGAGAGAGAGAGAGAGAGAGAGAGAGAGGCAGAGACACAGGCAGAGGGAGAAGCAGGCTCCATGCAGGAAACCCAATGTGGGACTCAATCCCAGAGCTCCAGGATCATGCCCTGAGCCAAGGCAGAGGCTCAGCCGCTGAGCCACCCAGGGATCCCCAGACTTCTTGGAGCACCATTCTTAACACCCTATGAGGAAGGATATGTGAGCGTATCATGGGACCCCATAGATTGTTTTTGTGTCTCAAGAAAAGGAAATCGTGGAATAATTCTCTTTAAGACTTCGGAATGATGATACTAAGCTCTGACTTTATGTGTAGTCCCAAGAGCTGAATGGGACACTTTTTCCTTTATGATACTCAGGTGAGCACATGACAGAAGAGGAGATGCGTGACTGCTTTGCTACCCTGTTTGGACTGAATCCTGAGGGGTGGAAGTCCGAGCCTGCAGCCTCCTCTGTCAAAGGTACTGTGGCTGGGCCTGCAGCTGGGCTCACTAATTTGTTGTAGACTTAAGTGCATTTATTTCTCCTGACTGGTGCAGGCCGCTCTCCTTAATACCATGCACACAACAAAGCAAGTCCGCTGGGGACCCAACATGAATAAGTTATGAAAGGACCAGCGAGCGGTGGTCATGTCTGAAAGATGAAAGCATTTGTTACCATGTGCCATCCGTCCTTTGTGCCTCCTGGTCTCATTTTTCTCTTTATTCCCCTGACCCAGTCTTCATCTTTTTGGCTTGGGTGCATGTGTGCTGGCCACTTGGAGAAGAGACAGCTTGGAAGGTGTTTCAGGAGAGGCATTGTCCAGAGACTGGAATAAGGACAGGGCAGTGAATAAGCACAAGTCCAGCTTTGAGCTACCAGTGCTTGAAAGTTCTTAATGCTTGTCTTCCTCTCCTTTCCTGCCTGATGATTGCCCACCTCCTTCTTTAGTCCCCTGGAGGGAGGAACATGGACCTGAAGTTAAGGTTGTGAATTTAAGTTCTGGAGAAACCAGTCTAGACAGCTGTCCTGGTCCTGCAACGGGGTGTCTCCACAGCCAAGCCCTGGATGGTGCTTGATGCCCCGTGGTGGACAGAGCCCGCCACGCTTACCGAGACTGGGGTCAGGAGCAAAGATCCCCTTGCCAGGCTTCTTTCTCCCGCTGCTTTCATTGTTCATCCCCTGTCTCACATTCAACAGCGTTCCTGAACTCAGATGGTTCTAGACTCGAGTATCCAGTTTCCAGCCTTCAATCTCCCCTACCCCAATCCTTGTGGACTCAGGGACTTAGCATGTTACTCTCCCAGTTGTTACACATAAATCAACCATACCACATGGTTTAGGCTTTCCAGTGACATTCACTGAGATTTGGTAACAGTGCTCCAAACTGTAAAGAAGGGATTTTAGCCAACTTTCACCCAGGGGTTTTGAAGGGCCCAGAGCCAAAATATAGCACAAAGCACCTCTCACTTTTGTTTAGTATTGGTTCCTTGTATTTTTGGAAAATGCTGCTGAGTTAGAAACCTAATCATTATGGAAGCATTTGTTTTCTTTTCTTATTTGGCTAGGTTCAGAAATCTGCTTTGAAGAAGAACTTCCAGACGAAATCACTGCAGAAATATTCACAACTGACATTCTTGGCCTAACCATTTCACAAGATTTCAGACAAGATCCTACGGTCAGTGAAGTTGTAAAGAATGTTTGAAGCACAAAGGACTTTGTGTGTGGGTTTTTTTTTTCCCCCAAGAAGCACTGCTTTCCCTGCATTTCCCTGCCCCCACTCTAATCTTTGGAACATTTAGACATTAAAAGCAAATTTCTGTTAAGCAATGGAATTCACAAAGTTGGACATTCCGCTGTTTCTGAAATAGAAAAGTGGGTGGAGGCAAGAAACACACTAGCAGCTGGATGTAAATGATGGCTAGATACCCTCGCCTGTCTTCCTGCTTAGTCTAAGGCAGCACTGTCAGAGTGGGTTTGAAAAGGACCCAGAGGTAGCCTGGTCCTGGGGGGTAGAGAGGGACTCCACCTGCAGCAGGCCTTCCTAGGGATACACATGGCTCAAGTGCCATCTGGACCTTGACCTCATGTGGCCTGATGTGGATCACCTCTGCCTGCTGTTTGGGGTGGTGGTGCTCTGTGCTCTGGGGCTCCTTAGAATCCCTGCTCATGACTTCTCAGCAGCAAAATACCTAAGCAGTTGCATGGCCGTTATGAAGAGCATCACTGGCCATGCTTAACCCTGGTGGCAACTGCCAGAGAAAATGCAAAGAAGCACCCTGGGGGCCCTGTGTGTGCTGCACCTGGACCATAAACCACCTGGCCAGCCCCACAGAGGGCAAAAATCACCAGCTAGAGTCTGTGAGCCTCCCCCAACTTCCCCCTCCGCAAACCAGCCAAGGTGATTCAGGACCTCACATTCCACTGGGCCTCAGAACATGTAGGAGGCAAGAACAGGGCCCAGTTCCCCAGCTCAGGGGATAATTTAAGGAACATAACTAAGTTTTCAGTGGTGTTTTGACCTTGAGAATAGAGTGCCATCATTGTGTAAACAGGTGAAAGTTATGTTTAGATTTTAGAGATATGTTATCACCAATGAGTCCTCATTCAGACAAATGTGCCAAATGCTCTTCTCTACACATGCTCAGTCCATCGCCCTGCCACCCAAACCGGGTCCTTCCCCAGAGGCCCTGGCATGTGAGATGACATTTCTGTTCCTCTGAGGGCCCTTCCTCCTCAGGAGCAGAGTCCATGTGAGAGAAGTCAATGACAGTAGTGTCATCCCTCATGCACAGAGCCCTCCCTGCTGTGTGCTCTCCACTTGGAGACTTGGCTTCTGTGAGTCTTTGGAACACTCTGGAGCACAGAACAGAACTACCCCAAACCAGGCTGTGTCACTGTGACCTTGGGATTGATGACGTGGGCCAGGGTACTACAGGCACCTGCTCATCAGACAGCATCACCAGGGCTTTGCAATCTGGTTTACATTTTGTTCTTTAAAAACAAAAACAAAAACAAAACAACCAAAAAACCCCCAAGCTTTATGAATCAATTTTGCAGCTGCTAAGGGCTTAGGAAATATATTACAAAGCTGGTTAAAAAGTTCCTGGGGACATTTTAGGGAACAGGAAACTCTCAGATGACTTGTTCTCTTCAAAAAATTACTCAGAATTGAATGCAGCCTGGACACCAACCAAGGGCTTCCTTCATTAAATTGGGTACAGTTTGATTTTGTTCTTGTTGACTGCATGTATTGGAAGAATGGTCTTAAGCAGAACTGGTCAGTGACCAGTTGGGCCACAGTGGCTGGACCAGTGAGCTGGAACCACAGTCACACCACAGCTGAGGTGCTCCTGCTGTGCCGAACCGGCCTCCCTGGCTGCAAGTCCCCTCTGGGAGGAGAGGCTCCGGCTCTGACATTTATCCAGGAAGGCCAGAACAGGGGACACAGGATTTGTGTCAATAAAGTTCCCAACCACTCCCAGCCCAGCTTGGCGGTGGGCCTCCTTCTCATCTTCAGGGCCCCTTTCTGCAGGTGCTTTTGTTTGGTTGTCTTTCAACTTGTTTGACCAACATGGAGAGGACCTGTGCACTGTTCAGCCCCAGGAGGGCCTCTTATCCCTGGCTGGCCCCACCTGCTGGCCACATGGACCTTGGAGATGTAGGACACCAGCACTCCCACCCAGGGAAGGAAGTGGAGGACAGCCTTCCTGCCAGGTGAGCAGGGCACCTGGACTCTCCAATAGTGTGGCAGAGCAGTGACACCACAGAGGGAGCAAGGAAAGACCAAAGAAGTATAATTGTTGGGCTTGTATATCAAGACTTAGGGACAAAGCACTGAACATTGTGATGTTCCTTTGGAAAAAGAATACTGTTTCAGTATGGGGCCTCCCGCTACCCATCAATCAAACCATCCTGGTTTGTTGCTTCTAGAGTTCAGGGACACCAGGAGCCTCCCCACCGCACCCCCCTGCCCCCTCTGCTCCAGACCCCAAGGCTTCTCCTGAGCATGGTGAGTCTCTTGTTTGCACAGCATCTGCTCTGGAAGCCCATTGGCTTGACTGGGCTCATTTTCTGTTCCTGCTGTTTCATGGCTCCCTGTGTACACGTGAGTGTGGCTCATCTCTGAAACCTGTTTTCTCCTGGAACAGCCCCTGGGTGGTTGAGAGGATTGAAGGCGAGGGTACAAGAAAAATGTTACCAGGAGGAGGCAGAGCTCAAAATAGGACAGCAGTTATTCTTATGGGACAAACCACACTGTGAGACCTGGGGAGGTTGTTGGTGAGCACTACCCTCCAACTATTCCCATTTCAGCATCCTTAGCACTTGGTCAAATAGGAGTCTCTGCTGGCTTTGACAATAGCATCTGTGAACTGGCTGGAGAGATGAACCTGGAGCTCTTTACTAGCTGGCTTTGCCTTCAAATAGAGGCAAACACCAGGTCCTGCCAGGCTTTCTACATCAGGGTCAGCAGACTTTCTCTATAAAAGGCCAGAGAATAAACATCAAAGCTCTTCAGGGCAAATGGACTGTGTCACAACTCCTTGACTTGGCCGTTGGAGTACAAGGCAACTACAGACAATCTAGAAATGAATGGTTATGGCTGTGTTCCAATCAAGTTTACTTGTGGACTCTGAAATTGGAGTTTATGATAATTTCCACATATCACAAAATCACCTTCTTTTGATTTTTTTTCCCAATCATTAAAAATGTGAAAACCATTCTTTTTTTAATTTATTTATTTATGATAGTCACACAGAGAGAGAGAGAGGCAGAGACATAGGCAGAGGGAGAAGCAGGCTCCATGCACCAGGAGCCTGACGTGGGACTCTATCCCGGGTCTCCAGGATCGCGCCCTGGGCCAAAGGCAGGAGCTAAACCACTGCGCCACCCAGGGATCCCTGTGAAAACCATTCTTAACTTGCAGGCCACACTGGTCCCTCAGGCTGTAGGCTGCTCTACCTCCTAGGCCAAGATCACTCATCCCAGCAGATTTTTACAAATACAGGGCACTTGTACAACCAACCTGGCCAGTGCTCTTTAATCCTGTCAAAGTTATGACAAGCAAGAGGAGACTGAGAGACTGTCACACACTGGAGGAAACTAGGGAGACACCATAGAGAATTGCAGAATGAGATCCCAGAACGGATTTCCAGAAAGAAGGAGGCTGTTGGGGAAGCCATGTGGTCCAGGTCTGCAGTGTAGGGACCAGCATGGCACTGGTCACTATAGAGTGGTTACATGGGGTATACACACCTGGGACGCTGTGAGAGCTGTTCATGGGAACTCTCTGTTCTACCTTTGCAACACTCCTATAAATCTATAATTATCTTGGGGCCTCAGGGTGGCTCAGTTGTTTAAGTATCTGACTCTTGATTTTGGCTCAGGTCATGATCTCAGAGTCGTGAGATGGAACTGCGTGTCGGGCTCTGTGCTCAGCAGGGAGTCTGCTTCAGATTCTCTCTCTCTCCCTCTCTCCTTCCCCCTCCCTCTGCCATGCTTTCTCTTTCTCTCAATAAATACATTCTCTCAAAATTAAAAAAAAAAGGAAATCTGCACCATTTTTCTGACTCAGTGACCCCTGAATTGTTTCCATGATCTGCCCTATTCCTTCCTCTCCATTCTCAAGCAAACACTCCTGAAGCCGGTCAGGGCTGCCTGCTTTTGGGTCCTCTCACTTGGCGTCTCTCCTCTTTGAACAAGCCTCTGCTGCAGTTACAGGCACTGCAGACAAGAAGGGTCTTTCTGTAAAAATCTGTGTCCTTAAGTCATGGCTACCCTTAGCACTGGTGTTTTCAGGCTGAGCATGCTCTTTAGGGATTTGGCCAGCAGTTCTCTGGCAGGCAGCTGCTTCCAAATTGACTGTAATAAATAGATACAGGGCATTGGGAATCAACAGCACGTTGCCACCCTACTCATATGTCATGTAACTACGCTCTGCTGGCCTAGCTTAAAGGAAAACAAGAAAACAAAACCAAAAACAACCCCGGGTTGCCTCAGTTGGTGGAGCATGCGACTCTTGATCTCAGGGTTTTGAGTTCAATACCCACGTTGGTGGTAGATTACTTAAAAATAAAATCTTAAAAAAAAAAAAACCCAGGTTGATATGATTCTTCAGTGGCAGTGCAATTCAGAGTATAGGGACCGACCGACCTCACAGGACAGTTACTAACAGGATCCCCATGTCCTTCAGCTTGTTATCCAGAGTTGCTGATACATAAGGCAGTCCTCCTGCCCTTCTAGGTCATGGTGGCTATTTATCAAGGCTCAGGTGAGAGGCATCAGGCCCAGGAAGATCGCTGGCTACTGCTGCTACTGCTACCATTCTTGATAGTTTGGAATGACCAGTGGTTCAGTGGGGGAGTCCCACATCAAAAATGCCGCCACCATATGGGACCGTGTCCCTCGTGTTTTCTTGTTTTGTTGGTTGGAAGTCACAAACCACATCAATGTAAACATGGTATTTATTTTTGTATATCTTACTCTTTAAGTGGGGGTGCTTTCTTTGAGAGGGGAACAAGTTTAGTTACAGGGAACTAGCATATGCTTCTTGCCAGCACTCAAACACTATGGAAGGGTGTGGTACAAGGCACGTGTTCTCGCAGCCCACCAGCCAGCACGCCAGCCTTGGAGCGGGGAGCAGGGAGCAGTATCATGGACCTGGGGTCTAAGACACAGAGAACATACAGGTAGGTGCAGCCTCCAATGTGAGGGAGTTGAGGGGTCGTGGCAAAGCCAGAGCACACTGTCCTATGTAAGGGGCTGGCTGCTGCCCAGCTTCTGCTCTCTGAGTGCCT